CAACGGAGCCTCTATGATCAAGTTTGAACAAGCGTTTAATTTTTGGAACACAATTTTTTGCGATTCGGCCAATGCAAAATGTCGACTCATATATTTTCAGACTTTTGGAATTTCGACGTCCGAAAATAAGGGGGCAACTGGTATGTCATCATAAAATTATCTTGATTGGGTACGAATCTCGAGGCAAAATCAAGCCGGAAGCTTCAAAAATTAAATTCGGGATCACCTGAACTCCGATTTCAACAAACTTACAGTCAAACTGAGCGTCTCGGAAATACGAACCCAACGACACCAAATTCAACTCAATCCGAGCCGAAATGAGCCCAAATCAAGGACCCGAAGCGCTGTTGGAAAGTTCGTACCATAATTTGAGTTTCCAAACGATCTCTGAACTTGACAAGCTTATGGTCGAATCGAGTGGCCTGATGAGACGAATCCAACGAGCCCAAGATCGCTGAATTTTGAAGTCATTAAGACCTTCAAATGCCTGATAAACAGTCCACGATCGAAGGATTTAATATCGGCCGTTCATCCGAACCACTCAATATTTGCCCCTGATCTCTCATCTATTTATGGGTCATGCCACTACAGAAAATCTATAAATAGACCCCTCATTTCTCTTGAGGGGGGACCGAAGACCCAAGCAATAAGAAGAGAAGAATAGGAGGGAAGAGACTCCTCGACCATCACTGGAGTTCCGCCTGAACTTTAAATGACGCCGGAATTCTGTCTGACTTTCACGGGACATTGGAATTCTGCCCGACTTTCATGGACCCCAGAATTCTGCCAGACTTTTACTGGATGTTGAAATTATGTCCAAGTAATGACAGAGTTCCCCCCTGACGCCGAAAATCTGCCCAAGTGATACCGGAGTTCTCCTCGGCCACCAACAGACGTCGGACTTCTACCCGATGCCGGACCTTCACTCATCGCCAAGTTTCTACCCGACGCCGGATTTCTACCGGTTATCAGACTTTCGCTGGACTTCTAGCCGAGGATGGATTTCTTTCCATTATTGGACTTCTACCTGACACAGTCCTTCTGACCTCTATCGCCAACCGACTACGGTCTTTCTGACTTACGTCACCCACCAACTATAGTCCTTCCGGCCTCCATCGCCCGCCGACAATAGTCCTTCCGACTTACGTCGCCTGCCGACTATAGTCCTTCAGACTTACGTTGCCTGGCGTTTATAGTCCTTCAGACTTACGTCGTCCGCTGACTACAGTCCTTCTGACTTCCGTCGCCCGCCAACTACAGTCTTTCAAACCAAACAAACACATCAACAATGATGCTATGTATTCTCACCATGTAATGTACTCTATAAGATGTACATCTAGCTAAGGCCTTCCCCTGAGGAAGGACTTCCTTTGTAATCAACTACAATACTAGTGGATTCATTTATATTGGGCCAGGCCCGTGGTTTTTCCCCCTATTCAGGGGTTTTCCACGTAAAAATCTTTGTGTCTCTCATAAATGCACCATCTCCCTTTATCTGTGTGCGTGCCGGATTTTCGTACAACGCTAAGACGTTAAACTTTATATTTCTCTACCGCCGTGAATACTCTAGGACGCAACAAGAATAAAGCTAAAAATTGATCAATTTCATTAAAAATTTAAGACAACTAATATAAATCCTTCTATTTTCTTCATTACATTCAAAAATTTCACATAATGCCATCCATGCCAATAATAAATGAATTAGTATTGTGAATGACTTTCCAATTATATATGAATGTTGTTCAAATCACGTTTGAATTTGGTTCAAACCAAGTTCAAATATTTTTTAATCATTTATGAAATTGGTTCAAACCTAGTTTTGTGACACTATGTTTGGTTCTATAAATAGTTTCTATTAAAATGACATTAATTCACATTGCTATTCTATTCCTTATAGCCAATATAAATCATATACTCAATTGTTGAAGAATCACTTTAATTATATATCCACAACATTAAACAAACATTGTCAAGACTTATCAATAATTATAGATGTCCAATTTAGCTACTTCATCTTATTCTAATTCATTTTCATTGTTTTCTTACAGCATTTCAGGAAGAAATCTTGCTCGAAAATAACGAAAATTTAACAAGGACTATAGCAGGAAATATAATGATGTGTATGAAAAAAAATAAAAAAAATAATGATGTGTATGAAGGAGCCTAGGAATTGCGTTTTTTAGTGATTTAAATGGAATATAGTTTGAAGGGATATAAGCATTTTGAGGGTGTTTTCATCCAAAAAGAACTTTTATGAAAATTAACCATGTAAACACTTATGGGGATCTTTCTCTAAATATGAGTATTATAAAGCATATAAAATCAAGTTTCTCATTTTTTTATTTTACTATTGAAAAAAAAATCTCTCATTCAAAAATAATGTTGTTACCTTATATGATGGCATTCTAGTGGTGTAATCAACTCGAGTCGATTGTGACTTGAGCTTGACTTAATGTGTTAAGTTATGGCTTAAACATACACTCAACTCAATTAAGTTTATTATAAGCTCAAGCTTGACTCAGTGGTGTGAGCTCGATTAATTGCTCAAATCGATTAGCCATTAATGACATAACTTAGATTATTCAATGAATAAAAGTCATGTATAAAATTTAAAATAGAATTTTAATGTTATTTTTTAAATACTAATCATGAGCTGGCTTAATGAGTCTTGCAGGCCATGACACAATAAGCCAAGCACTAGAGCCCATACATGAGTAAGAGCCATCTTTACTCAATTAAATGCTTAATCCCTTCCACTGCCATCTCCCACCTAGGGTTGTAACCAAGTCAAGCTGAGCTAATTTTTTATTTTATTTTTATCAGCGTATTAATACAACTAAAGTTAGAGAGGTTTTAAATAAAGTGAAATGTGGAAAAGCTGTTGGACCTGATGATATTCCAATAGAGATTTGGAAATGCTTAGGAGTTGAAGGAATTTCTTGGGTTACTATACTTTTTAATATTATTTTGAAGACTTAAAAGATGCCAGATGAGTGAAGAATGATTGTTTTGATTTATATTTTTAAAAATAAAGGTGATGCTTAAGATTGTGCGAACTATAGAGAAATTAAGTTAATGTGCCATATTTTAAAACTATGGGAGAGAGTTATGGAGCATAGGTGCGGCTTGATACTAATGTTTCTCAAAATCGATTTGGATTCAAGCCAGGTAAGTCTTTTATGGAAGCTATATATTTATTGAGAGGTTTGATGGAGAAGTATAAAGAAAATAAGGAGGATCTACATATGATATTTATTGATTTAGAGAAAGTATATGATAAAATTCTAAGAGAAGTGCTATGGAGAGTTGTAGAAAAGAAAGGGGTGCTTATATTCAAGTCATTAAGGATATGCATGTTACTTGTATTCAAACACAAGGTGGTTTGACCAAGTATTTTCCTATTTATGTTGGATTACGTCAATGATCAACTTTAAGCCCATATCTTTTTTTCTTTAGTCATGGATGTTCTCACTAGTTATTTGCAAGAGGTTGTACCCTGGTGTATGCTTTTTGCTGATGAAATTCTTCTTGTTGATAATATTAGAGAGGGAGTTGAAGGTAAACTTAAATTATGGAGGTCAACCTTATAGTCTAAAGGTTTTTGTTTGAGTAGATCTAAAACTGAATATATGAAGTGTAATTTTAGTAAGAATAGATCTTGTAGGCGGATTGCGACTTTGGGTGATCAAGTTATTAATAAGAGTACATGTATTCAATATCTTGGGTCTATTGTTCAGAGTGATGATTAAATAGACGGGGATATTATTAGGAAAAATTCAAGTTGGATGGTTGAAGTGGAAAAATGCATCGGGCTTATTATGTGATAGAAAAGTCCCCCATCAAACTTAAGAGAATTTTTTAAGATGGTGATTAGACTTGCAATACTTTATGGTGCAGAATGTTGTCCATTAAAATAGAAGCATAATATTAAGTCAAGTGTTGTAGAGATGAGGATGCTTAGGTGGATGAGTGGCTTTACTCTGAGAGATAGGATATGAAATGAACATATACGTGAAAAGGTTGGAGTAGCTCCTGTGGAAGATAAGATTAGAGAGAGTTGTCTTAGATGGTTTGTACATATAAAACGGCTGCCTTCCGATGATTCGGTTAGGAAATTAGATATATTAGATTTGACTTATGTTAAGAAACGTAGAGGTAGACCTAAAAAGGCTTGGTTAGAAAATATTAGAAATGACTATTCTTTATTAGATTTCAATGAGAATTTAACTCTTAATAGGACACAATGGAGAAAAAAAGATTCATGTAGTTGACCCCACAATGGGATAAAGGCTTAATGTTGTTGTTGTATGTTGTTGTTGTACTGTGAAATGCTAAATCCTCAGTTCATCAATTACCCCTCACTAGACTCAGATTAACTCCATCTTGCAAGGAAGACCCGATTTTCAAGTGCTATTGATGCAATTCTTGCAGTCTGTTGTGATATGAATTGGATTAGGGCAAATGTGCTGCAGCTTTATTACAAGAGAAGGTGTCGGATGATTCTCACACAAGAATTGGGTCAGAGAAGGTCGGGGGAAGAGGAGCTGCTTGGTGGGCACTTACAACTAAGTGGGGAGTAGCTAATTGCTGCCCGAGAGGAAAGTAGTCATTGGAGGTCGAAGAAGCCTTTGATGACGAAGGTGGAGGAAATCAGAGCCAGTTTAGGTGGAAGAAGCCAAAGTCACATAAGCCACTAGTTGCAGAGATTGGCAAGGCATGTGATGGAAGTTGCAGAGGAGTTCTGCAGCATCTTTTCAAAGCCCTTTTGCTTTAGCTGTGTTTGATTTATTTAGCTTTATTTTTCTTAAATATGATTCAAGGCCGTCTCTAGTTACTAGTTACATGACTTTCATGACATGGGAACTATTTAATTTTCATAACATTACAACTTCTGTTTAAGTACTAATGAAGGTTCACTTCTATGTACTTCTTGTCTTATTTTATAGTAACTTGAGTCTCGGTAATCCTTTCTGCAATCAATAAAGTTATTTATTTTACAGATTATGTTCTCGTACTAAGGCTAGTTGACCGATATGAATCTCATCCTGGCCTGTCTGTGAACCTTTTTGCCGATAATCTGGACAAACTACCACAAGTCAGGTCTACTGGAGATATAATCTCCCTTCATCATGTAGAGGTAATACATAAGTCAAGCAAAAAATTCATAAAGACCTGCGCCGAAAGACTAATTGTTTTATTTCGTTACTGCACTGTGTTGAGAGGCAGTTTGCAGAAAATGCTGAATATTTGAATTTGAGAAGATAACATGATAAAGGGGAGGTAGCCTAGGAAGGCATCCCCAACTGCAGCAGTCTTTTTTATCAAGTTTCTTATAACTAACGCCTTATTTTGGCAATGCTTTTAAACTGCTTTACTTTTACTAAATTTGATATATTATGATTTTGAGTTGTGGGAGGGACATGCGATGGAAAGCACCTTGTTCCATGTTCAACTTCAATGAGACTAACGGTGTCTTTATTCATGTCAAAATGCACAACACAGCAACACAAAATGTCATTAACACAACATCGCAACAACAAAACATCACCCAATGTTCCCTAAGAATGGCATGGTTTCCTTTGGCCTGCTGTCTAACTTCGAGGAACCCAAATGTTTCTCATTTCAGGTAGGGGTTTTTCTGCATCACCATCTTTTTGTTGATGGATTCCCAATGGATTTCTGTTGTAGGTAACTTACTCGTTATCATACATGGCGGAAATAATTGAATGATAGTTCTTAAACTTGTGAAGGCTGCTGTTTTTTCCAGTCTTCTTTTTCCTATACAGTTCAATGTGCATAAGCTCAAACCTCTTCTACAAAATCCTTGTAAATTCTATCATAATACTGCTCACTTTTTGCTATTGGGTATATGATGACTGCATTTTACTAGAATGTCCTCATAGCTATCGGAGTAGGTAACTTACTGATCTTTTCTTTCTCTTATTCATGAGAAAACTTGGGCAATTTTCAGTTGAGTAATTGGCTGGACTGCTTTTCTTTGCAAGCTTGAAAATTTCAACATTTTCTTTTGTAGATGAAAGTTAATAATGGAGAGTTTTTTTGCACTTTTAATGGAAAGTTATCTTCATTTGCCTTATTTAATGGCGAAGCTGTTATGGACTTGTCTCCCTACCAAAGGTCAATTAATTATCAAGCTGCAGATAATGATAGAAAGTTTTTAATGCAATTGAGGACAACTTCAGAAAATCTTCAACCAGAACAAGGTGAATTTTTGGTGCAGAGATGCCATGTAATTTCTTCTAAAATTGTCAAATATTTATTTTCAATGATTTGATTTGTTAACTACTCCCATTGGAGGGTTTTAATTTCCATTTTTACTGTTTATTAGGTGTTTAGAACGATCTTGTTATTAGAGCGAGTTTACTGTACTCCAAATCCATGTCGAGAGAGGAGACTATAGATAATATTATTCATTCTATTTTTGGCTATCTTCTATCAAACAATAGCTTCATGTTTGCTTGTTCCTGTCCTTTAACTTTTAGGGTAGTTTTGACATCCATTCATTCCTAACACTTACCCATTTTTGCACTTTGTTGACTGGCCCTGTCTCTGTATTTTTTGCTTTAACCTTCTAGTTTTGCTTATGTAGTCTTAGGCGAGCCCATAGCAACATTATTCTGCAATCTAAAAGTGGAGGAAAATCTCACTATTGTGTGCAAGGTATTTATAATCGTTATATAAACTTCTTTTTTGCATTTTCCATTTTAGGCTAATATGTAAAAAGAATAAATGTTAATCTACTTATTGTTGGGTGAAGGTCCTTCATGCAAGTGAAACTTCTGCTGGGGATCTGGTATTGTTTGTGTGGGATGCAACGGATTCTCCTCTTGTAACTCTGCAGATAGAGTAAGTTCCTCAGTACCTGTTAATTCATTATTTCTTGAGAACGTTTGGGTAGGTTATGTGTGAACATCAAATGCAATCACAATAAACATGCCTCCTATTAACTTGACGTGTGCAGTGCATGAACAATGTGTTGATTTGCCTATGAAACAATTGGTAACTCTAACCATATATATTTAATTAAGACTTGGGAACAGTCTGTGTGCTCTTTATCCATGCACATTTTGAAACAAGTACAAGCACTTTTTTTTTTTTTTTTACTTTTTTTAATTCTCAATCGATCATCATTATACCACAATGACTAGGTTTGTTGTGTTTCATTTGTTATCCTTTTGCTTATCTTCAATTTCTAACTATTGTGTTTTTTTCTGGTTATTTTTACTTAAAATTTTCAAGAACCACCACATGGGACCATTTATGCTTATGTTCCTTTAGTCTAAATCTGTGAAATGTTTATATTTTCGTTTATAACATTTTTTTTTCGATAAGTAAAGTAGTATTGTAATTTCCCACTATTTTTTTCGGTCTAATTTTTTTTCCTATTATGTTTTCTTTTTGTGGTTGTACGAAGAAGTTTCGTGTAGAGATAAAACCATATTGATTTGTCACCCTATCTCTAGAAGTATATTTGTTTTTTAAAATAGGACAAAGAGTGTGGTAAATAAAGCCATCAATACCTGAAGGAAGCCAATATCAAGCCTAAATCTAGTTTGGCTTGTTAGATGGCATAGCTGACATTCATTTCATTTTCTCCAGATTGAGTTCTGCAAAAACTTTGTCAATTTCTTGAATATACCATACCTGTTTCTTGTTGATGTAAGTGGGGGGGGTGGGGGGGGGGGGGGGGGGGGGGGGGGGGGGGGGGGGGGTCCTCTTGTCCTTGGGATGCTTGCTGTTCTCTGATTGGGGCTGTTTGCCGCTCTCTGATTGGGCTTTGGCTTCTTGGTGTTGAGCTTAAAAATTGGGTTCTACTTAGTTTCTAGCTCATAAATGCTTGAGCTAATGTTAGCTCATTAATTGGAAAAGGTACTCTTCTTGTAAGCTCATTAAAATGAGTTAAAATTTGTATCTCTTCCCTTCCCCTTTTGCCTTTTCGGTTTCTGCTGGTTGTTGCTGTTCCCGTGGTCCTCCCTCTCGGTTTTCTTCCCTAGCTGTTTTCCCGTGAAGCTCTGTCCTGTTTCCTGTGCTGGCTCTTCGGGTCCCTTGCTGGCTGGGCTTCCTGTGACTTCTGGCTGGTTTCCCTTAGCTATTTCCCCTTGTTTTTCTGTGCAGTTTTGTGGGATGTTGTGGTGCCTTTTGGCCTTTCATTTCCCCAAATCTGATTGGATTTGGTTGGAGGTTCTGTGGCTGTTTAGCTTCTTCCTTTTGCCTATAAATTATAGATGTTTTGAGGCTTGTAAAGGTTGGAAAAAATGCAATTTTTGGACATGAAAACCTGAGGGTTTTTTCTTGGAAAAGCTTGAGAGCTTGTTCCATTTTTTTTCTACTTCTTGCATTGGGAAGGCTTGCGAGCTTCTCCGCTCTTCTTCTCGGCTTCTGACCTCGTTCTTTTCTCCGCAAGTTTCGACACAACTTGTATCATTCTTCTCGACGGATGAAAGCAAGTTTATGTTAATGTTTGTGTCGTTTGTAAGCGTTCAAGTTTGTAAGTCCTTTATATTATAAAAGATAATTTGGAGTATCTCTTTTATCTAGGAAGGTTTTCTCTTGCTTGCAAAAATTTGGGGCTCTTTCCAAATTTTTGATTGCATCAGCTGTAAAATTGGCACCAGATCCTTGGTACAACTTAACAACAATCAAGCACATAGATTATAACAGAATTTACCAAATTCCTCATGGCCTTCTTAAGCAAATTTTTACAATTTAGTTTGGTGAACTTGGTTCATGCTCACTTTTAGCTCTTTTTATTTCCTCTTATGGCGTGTTGGATACCCTTGAACCATTTGAATCTAACTATGGGCTGGTCTCAAGAGGAAATCATTCATGGAATTAGCATTTACTTCAATGTATGATTTTATTTCTATAACAAATAATTCATTTTTCTATTTAAGGTTATTGTAGCATATCCACTAAGCAAAGCATGCAGTGGGCTGATCAGATCATGCGGTTGGGTATGTTTTGGGAAAGCAGTAGTGGAATTAGGAATATAGTATTATAACACTTAGTGGAATTGCCTCCTTTCATAAAAGCCATTTTTCTCCTACCATCCACGAGGCTCTTTTTCCTTTAAAGCCGCTCTCTGCTATCGGGTGAGCCAGAGGATGGGGAGGCGAATAGAAAGGGGTTCTAAAGGCGCTGTTTGCTGTAGCTAAAAACAAGGTAAGGAAATTCTGTGCTTAAATTTAGGTTTTTTAACTTGGAGTATAGGAATTTCTGAAGTATAGTGTGTCTGTTACGGGAATTTCTGAAGTATAGTGTGTACATGCTGGCTGAAATTCTTGAATGCTGTTGAATTCAGGAAACATTGAAAGAAAAATAGGTAAAGGACTGATGTGGCTGCTGTTGGGCTACTGTGTGTGGCTGATTTCTGAGGTAATGAGAGGTAGGAAAGAAGTTTAGTATTGTAGAAAGCTAAAAAAATCAGTAATTATATTTTCTGTATTATTGCGTGCAGAAATAATAAAGAGAATATTGAAAACTATTGTTATTGTTGCTGAAATTAGTATATATTGTTGCTGAAAAATGAATTTCTGAATGCGGAGTTTGCTGAATTTAGTACGAAAAGAAGAAAGAAGGAAAAGAGGGAGATTAGGAAGAGAAAAGGATTTTATGGAATGAGAAAGAGTGCAATTGAGATTGTATACAAGAGGAAAGATAGACAAATTCTAGGAGAACAAATTCCTAGCGACGTAAGATACTCAAACAACAACAAAAACAACAACATCAAGCCTTTATCCCACTACGTGGGGTCGGCTACATGAATCCTTTGTCTCCATTGTGTCCTATTAAAAGTCAAATTCTCGTTAAAATCTAATAAAGAAAGGTCATTCCTAATATTTTCTAACCAAGTCTTTTTAGGTCTACCCCTACCTTTCTTAACATAAGTCAAATCTAATACCTCTACTCTCCTAACCGGGTCATCGCAAGGCCGCCGTTTTATGTGACCAAACCATCTAAGGCGACTTTCTCTAATCTTATCTTCTACTGGAGCTACTCCAACCTTTTCACGTATATGCTCATTTCGTATCCTATCTCTAAGGGTAAAGCCACTCATCCACCTGAGCATCCTCATCTCTGCCACACTTAACTTAGTATTATGCTTCTCTTTTAAAGGCCAACATTCAGCACCATAAAGCATTGCAGGCCTCACTACCATCTTATAGAATTTTCCCTTAAGTTTGAGGGGTACATTTCTATCACATAACAAGCCCGATGCATTCCTCCACTTCAACCATCCAACTTGAATTCTGCTGATAATATCCCCATCTATTTCACCATCACTCTGAACAATAGATCCAAGATATCTAAAACGTGTACTCTTAATAATGACTTGATCGCCCAAAGTCACAATCCCCTCACTAGGTCTATTACTACTAAAATTGCACTCCATATATTCCGTTTTAGATCTACTCAAGCGAAAACCTTTAGACTCTAAAGTTGACCTCCATAATTCAAGTTTACCTTCAACTCCCTCTCTAGTCTTATCAACAAGAAGAATATCATCAGCAAAAAGCATACACCAAGGTACATCCTCTTGCAAATGTCTAGTGAGAACATCCATGACTAAAGCAAAAAGATATGGGCTTAAGGCTGATCCTTGACGTAAGATACTCAAACGATGCTATAAAATTAGTAAATGTTCTATTTAATTGCATTTCATATTTATTATATTTATGATCGCATTTATTTCAATTTAATCTAGTTTATTTATTTATGAATATATATGAACACGTTTGCATATGTTTATTCATAGAATAATGTCATATCATGAGGGCTAAAAATGATTGCTATTGCGAAAGTGAAATAAGTCATATATAAGGGATAAACCGCATAAGTAAAGGTGAAAGAACTGACGAGGTAAGCCTACATTCTCAATTCTAGAAATTGAAAATTTGGATCCAACCTTGAATGAGAGAGCAGCTTCAATTCTAAAAGTTAAGAATTTAGACCTAACCTTGAATTGAAAAACTGAAAGGGTATAAAAATTTATAGTTATCATATGACTTGTTTAAAATGTGTTGCACAATGGGCAAGATATAAAGTAATATTATGCATTTCTAATGATCAGTATGAAATTCTAATATGTTTTAAATTAATTGGTAACAATATTATTCTTATTTGCTATACATTGCTTATGTATTACATTGAGCCTTAGCTCATTAGCTGTGGTTGTACTGCAGGAAAGGAGAAAGAGCCTGTAGGACATTAAGGGGGTGACTATCTTTTTTGGTGTACATACATTTTGGGTATATATAGAGGTTCAAGTGGAGGTTGTACAAAAACTTTTAGGAAATGTAAGTAAATTTAAAAAAGTTTTAGTAAAGTTATGTATTTCTTTTGATTATATGTGAAGTTTAATTGATGTATATTACATGCTTCCTGTTAAGTAAAACTTGATATGTTAGGAGAGTTTAAATAGATTTCTTTTTATTCATATGATTCTTATAGACGTAGTTCAGAATATGTGTCAGTAAGAAAGAGGCCTGTTTAGATTTTTCTTCTCTATTATACTTCAAGTTGACCGTAGAGGGGGCCAAATTGGGGTGTGACAGACAATCTAGCAGACACATTTTCACCGACACACCTCCTATCTTTACTAATCATGATGAAGTGAGTGAAAAATAATTAGGCAAGTTAATCACAAAAATATTTTTCATCCTTTAATAGATGCATCATACTCATCGAGATAGAAGCATGTATATAATTTAAATAATTAAAATTGACTATGGAGCTTCTAATGCTTTCATAGAAAATAGATATATACCAACAGTCTTTAATTTATATAATGTGCATTCTTTTCTATATTACTTCTAAAACTGCTTGTCATTCATAACTCTAGGTTACAAAATAAGTTTGGTCTCTTGCCTATGTTCCCACTTGTTCTTTATCTTTCCTAAAAAATAGTCATCATATTATCTAATTGGATAATCGCTCGATGAAATAAATAGTTCTAATTTAAGATTCAAACATATAATAAAGAAGAAATAATGTACATACTTGAACTAACATGATTTTTTTTTATTATGGATATTACTAATTTAGTGCAATAATAAACTTTAAATAAAAACTTGTTATGACATTTAAATAAGTAAAAGACTTAATTTTAAGTAATCAACATGAGTATTTATAAGAATATAAAATGTAATTGTCAAGTTTTAAATCATAAAGTGCATTTTATCTTTCAATTACTTGCACAATTTCAATTTCATTTTCATTTGCATTTTCCTTTTCATTGATTTTCTTAGAAATATCATAGAATGCCTATATGCTTTTGGCAATTTTATATCATTATCATCACCTAGCATGTCGGCTTTAAAATCACTAATAAATTTTGGACAATCTAACATAGAAATTATCAGTCACCCCTTAACCTTATGGTATCAACTTTCTAGAATGGAGAGTCTATTTTTTCTTTGTCTATTGAGGTTTATCTCATCAGAATTTTTGCATCTCCATGGACAAGTTATTATAGTCTCTTAAGATGTTTGACATGACCTTTAATTGACTTATTTCAATTTATTCTCATTATCATCAACATTTAAAATTTACTTAGCTTTAATATTTACCTCTTATTAATTAATCTATTTATCATGCTTAATGAGTAGACTTAGTATGTGAAAGTCAACCTGTATGCACTTAACTAAATATTAAACATTTTTGATAAAAAATATTTTCAATTCTCTTAAACATGTGATCTCATAAAAAATTCATTCGATTTGTTAAATCATGTTATGCTCAATATGAAGATATGTCTACTTGCATGCACCTAGTTATTCAATGGAATTATAGAATTTGACAAATAATACGTTCTAAGAATAATTTGATTCTTATAGTAGATATTGAGTATCTTACTTGAATTATATGATATTCTTTAGGACAAAGTTCCAAATTATTATCATCTCAATGTTTTGCCCTTTTGTAAATAACCTAATAATAAAACTTTGCTCAATTTAACATAAATTCTTCATCATATCAAAGCTAAATAATTAACATTAAATAATATTTTTACCTTTAAATAATTTCTCATCATTCAAGCTTTCAACTCTGTAAACTTTAATACAAACTCAATTTGTGGAAAAAATATTAAAATAATTTCTTATTGAAAGTCTTTAAGTTCAAAACTCAAAAATCACTAAACTTTAAAATATTCAGATGGAATAAATCACTTAATAACTTAAAACAAAAATCCATCTATCTTGCGCAACAGTTTGTCGAGATAAATAAATTTGAAATCACTTCAGCAAATAAATAGTGAATGTCCAGTCGAAAATATCATTAGGATTTTGATAATAAGTGCTTGTAAAAATCCTCTCTTGGCTGAAATTAAATTACAATAAACCCAAACACAATCTCCATGAGAAATTAAGAGCAATAATAAGAGAATTTTTTTTTTTCTAATTGATGATATACAGATGAAAACAATAAGATACAATGGATCTTGGATTGGAGAGGAAGATTCAACTCTTCCAAATCCCTAGCTCCCTAAAACCCAAAACTTTCTAAGAACAATCTAAATTCTGCCAATTACATCATAACCTTGAATTCACCCTATTGTTATCCTTAAATAGGCTCTCCTAATTCCCTCCCAAATCAACTATCTTTTCCTAAATAATTCCCTCTCGTATTTGAATTCAAATCAAATCTCTTGTTCTAAATAATTCCATCCCAATTATAATTAAAACTTTTCTAAATAATTCCCCCTTGATATTCTTTTACTAAATAATTCTCTTTTAGATTTTGAATTCAAAATATATCTCTTGCCCTAAATAATTCCCTTAAATTGTAATTAAAATTTTTCTAACCAATTATCTTTTGATTAAGAATCTTCCTAAACAACTCCCTTTTGATTATGAAATTTTATAATTCCCTCCCAATCAAATCACCTAGTCTATAAATACTCCCCTCCTAAAGTATCACCTTATCATGAAGGTGGAATGAATGAAACTGCTACTGAAGCATTAGATTAATAGCATCAGATTGAAAAATGGACTGTCACTAGGTCGATTGATCCTTCTCTCCAGCATCTCTTTGATTAATCTCTCAATCTCTTCATTTTGGATTTGATGATGATGGTACAAATAAACACTGATAGACAAGACTCCTTCCTTTAAGATGATAGCATGTTCGTTCCCACAGAGGATGCAACCACTGAACTGGCTGGAACACCTATCGATACTATTGTAGAGGTGGTTGAACCATATCTGGTGCTTCTATTCTCTCCCCTTCTTTTTCTCCTAAACTATGCATCTCCACCAAAAATTCCACTTCTTCACCCTTTCCCTTCCTTGAAAGTTGCTCCAAAGGTGGCAGCTCTTCATTTTACCCCAATATTTCCACCTCTGATATTCCCCTCTCCTTATCAGATTAGGATTTCCTTCACTCCCTTGGTCGCTGGCAGCTCCCCTTGCCTTCGATAACACTGTTTTGGTTTGGAACTCAAGTATCTTCCTCATAATCTCCCCATGATTGTCGGTCCATCAGATTCATTCTCAAATCATTTCTTACCAGTAAGGATGTGGCACGTGTTATCTAACATGTGGTTTTGTGGTCAAATGACACCACAGGTAAACGGTTATGATCAGGGATCTCTTAATGGATGTTTTGGCCGCCAAATTGTATAACTAATTACGGTCACGACCAAAGCCCGTATGTTCCCTAATGACTCTAAATCCTTGAGTATGAGTCAATAAGGTGCAATTGATAGGGCGGAAAGCCTTTTGTTAGCTAAGGTGGACTCAAATTTGTCCCTTTAGGTGAACATTCACCCTAGGTTTATAATGTATCCTTGTACGAAGCAACTCAGAGCTATCGACAATAATCCTTCTGTCAATTTGGGTCAACATCCTCTAACTAAGTAAACTAGGGATCATGATGGTTCGGGACGACGGAACCATGTGAGTTTATTTTGTACTATAAGCACATATTTTGCAATATTCTTAATATCATTATATATATTTTTCCCACATAACATTAGCTTGCTCATGCATAATCAAAATATTGAGATATTAAATTTTACTCTCAAAAATATTTTTTTAGTATTTCTTTAAATACCTCATCAAATCCTTGGACAATATTTTATTTTATTTTTTCTTCTTAAAATCTAAAACTAATAAACAATGCTGGGTGCATAAACTTTCATTTGGAATGACATTACAATTTTTTTAATCTAAAAGGTCCATTTTTCTTATAAAAAGAATGCTCAGTCTGAGTTTTACTATATATATTCTTTTAAGTGATAAGATGTTCCTCTCTGGGGGGGGTTAAAAAAAAAAAATGTTCCTCTCTTTTATTAAATAAAATATTAGCAATTATAAAATTATAAGCTAGAGCAAATTCTAATATGGTCCTATCGCCTTCATTAGTCTCTCTAAACTCATAGTCATCTTAAATGCTTTTAAAATATTCTAGTCATTCCAAAAGTTTAATTTTGAATATATGTTCAAATCTAATTGAAGAGCTTAAACCCTTATAATATTAATAATCTTAACAACAACAATCTTTAAAACTATAATTTTATATTCAATTATATTAATTTCTACAATATTATTCTAAAAACTCTTATCTATAATCACCTACACTATTCATAGTACAACTCCTAATTGAATAAAATCCTAAACTATCAATCTCTTTGGACTTGCCTCTAGTCCATTTGATTTCCTGAATGCATAGAATAATTATCTTCCTATGAATTATAATATGTTTTAATTATATTCATTTACTTGTAAGAGAATTTGTATTTGTAGTTCTCATTCTAATTTTAATTTCATGGACTAACTTCTTTGGCCACATCTTATATATTTAACACTGCACCCTGGATCTGGTGCGACAACACTTACACACTTCTCAATGTAGTTAGGCCATATAGCGCATTGTTTTCAGGGAATGATCTATCATTAGTACAATTTATTAAATGATGCTTGTTATGATTATTTGACAAGTTTTATACTGGTTGTTGACTACCTAACACAATCCTCTATTTTTTTATTTTAAGATTGAGACTTGGTAACGACAGTGTTTCTTCTTCTTAAAAAAAAAAACCCACAAAAACAATTCTAATCTTATCAACCTTTCAAAATGGGTAATGAGCAACACGTGGTCACGAAATCCTTAACTTAAATGGTGGATCAAAAAAAATTATCATTGTATTTCGTGAAGGAGAAGACAAGGCATGAACATTTAAGTAAAGGAACTAGTAAAAACACATAACATTCAAGTTTGAAAAACTTGCTAAAGTTCAACAAAGAACATGAATCTTCAAACTCATTTTCACATGCATGCAAATGGATCTACTTTGACTTTGATACCATTGATGTAGGGATGCTTTAGCCTTGAAGAGTTACAAAAAAGGAATATAAGCAACCCAAAGAAGTAACTAGATAGCCATCCCAATCTCTCCAAAGGATGTATATTAGGCTCAACCTCACTGAGAGAAGAAATTGCAAACCTGCCACCGAACTAAGTTCGTGGAAAAAGGGAGTAATCTCAAATTGTATTTCAAAGATACGTGACATTCTAGATTTTCATGGCTATATGGGCTTTACATCATTAAGAAAATTAAATGCTATAGGAAATTTGCAAATAGATAAAATTATATGAAGAGTCAAAATTAAATGAAATTATATAAATATATGAGCTATAAATATTTATCTCTTTATTTTTAACATCAAATGGAAAATGTGTTGTGCATACTGTTTTCACTTTCCACACTCCTCTCTTGATTGAACTTGATTAGTATTTTCTAATGGTGACAGTTTAGACATGGAAGGACAAGGGCAAAATCTTTTGCATCCTGAAGTGCCTCTTTTGTCAAGAGAGGCGTATGCGTTCCCGCCAGTTGGGACAATCATCAGACTAACCGTTAGCAAAGACATCCAAAATATATCGCATATAAAAGGCGTTGGTTATTGGGTTAAGTTGGGAAATGTTGTTTTTGAGCTGCAATCAGGCCTATGGAAAGGTGCTCTTACACCTGACAGCTATGTTCAAATTTTGTCCGATGAAGATTACGAAGTACAATGCCATCAAAGGTGACTGTCTGTCTTCTTTTAAAAGAACTAGGGAAAAGAAAAATAAATAGAAAGCCTCAATTTCTCCTATGGACTAATGGACCATTGCTTTTAAATCTAGGATTTTTATTTATCGTAATTCATCCAAAGTGGATCGCTTACCTTTATCAATCTTTCCATGGCCATCCGATGTAACAGGTATTCGGCTTCTCTTGCCTTCAAATAAGGCTATCATAAGTTTGTGAGTAAACCATTTTTCTTTTTCTTGATAGTTAAGTTATTTGTGATATATCAGGATAAGTAATTTTCTCTTTTATGGAATTGTGGTTTTTTACCCACAGTATTTATGAACTAATTTATTTTGCACACCAACTAGCTACAGTTTGTTTTAAGCATTACGATGCATCTACTATCTATATCGCCCCCTCTCGAAGGGGATTCTATCTTTCATTTATCAAGAAGCCATTGTTCTGGATGCATTTAGACTAGAAAAGCATGACATAAATAAGTTATGTTGACGAATATCTCCTTAATGAGCTAGATCAATAAATATTTGACCATGAGTATTATTTATGGTCAAATTTCTATTTTTAAATCGTTATATTGAAATGCTACAAATGATGATTGAGGTGGATAAGATAGAACTTATTAGGCTTGGAGAATACAACGTAGCTATACAAGAAAAACCAATTAATTTTGATAGCTGGGATAAAATTTATTAGAGTACTAAATGTAAAGCATTGAATGACCCATGCTCAACCTGAAGCCTGCTCCAAAATTATAAGTATCAAGATATTTTGTATTTAAGATTAGTTAGTAAAATACAAATAAATACAAAACATTTAATAAGAGAATATGGATATGTACATGTAATATGTGATTTTTCTAAAATATGAAATGAAAAATATGAATTATAAGATTAAAATTTAAATTAATATTTTACTTTTAATTAAAAAAGTTTTAATGGGACAAATGAAAAAATGCATTATATTTTTGTGCGTTTATGTATGTATTTTTAATGGGTTCCCACATGAAGGACGGATGTGGGCAAAGAAGCTAGTCCATGAAACTAAAATTAGGATAGAAACTTGGAATATAGGTTCCCTTACAGGAAAATTAATGGAATTAATAGATATTATGATTCATAAGAAGATAAATATTTTGTGCATTCAGGAAACTAAATGGGTTGGAGAGAAGGCTAAAGAAATTGATAGTTTAGTATTTAAACTTTGGTATTCGGGTAGGAGTCATACTAGAAATGGTGTAGGTATTATTATAGATAAGAGTCTGAAGGATAATATTATAAAAATTAATAGAATTGGTGATAGAATTATAGCTTTAAATATTGTTGTTGATGATAAGATTGTTAATATTTTAAGTGCTTATGCTCCTCAAGTAGGTTTGGATATGAGTTCTAAATTAAATTTTTGGAATGACTTAAAAGAATTATTACAAAAGATACCTCTAGAAGAAAGAGTTTTTATTGGAAAAGATTTAAATGGACATGTTGGTAGAGAGGTAGATTTTAAAAGCATTCATGGTGGCTATGATTTTGGAACAACAAATGAAGGTGGCAAGATCATATTAGATTTTTGTTTAGCTTATGACTTTTCAATTGCTAATACTTTATTTAAGAAAAGAAATGAGCATCTTATCACTTATAAAAATGGTTATAGTACAACTCAGATTGACTATTTTCTTATAAGAAAATTAGATCGTTTAGATTGCAAAATTGTAAAGTTATTCCGAGCGAAACTTTATGTACCCAACATCGATTATTAGTTTTAGACTTTAAGATAAAGGGACAGATAATAAAAAATAAAGTAAAATGATATTCTAGGATTAGATGGGGGTATTTAAAGAATATTAACAAAAATATTTTTTAGATTAAGATTTTAGATCTTAAGATTTTATCTGTGCATGAGGATGCCAATATTATGTGGAAAAAAGTGGCTAGTGATATTAATAATATTGCAAAATATGTGCTTGGAATATCAAAGGGAAATGCTCATAATAATAAAAATAGTTGATGGTGGAATTCAAATGTGCAATAAAAGATTAAGAATAAAAAGATTTGTTATAAAAATTAGTTTAATTTTAAAAATTCTGATAATTGGGAAAGATATAAAGAGGCTCGTAAGGAATCTAAGAAAGCAATATGTGATGCAAAGACCTTAGCTTTTAGTGATTTATATAATAGATTAGATACTAAAGAGGGAGAAAGATATATGTATAAGTTATCCAAACAAAGAGATAGGAGTAGTAAGGATTTAGTTCAAGTGAAGTGTTTTAATGATGAAGATCAAAAAATACTTTTCTTAGAAGATGATATTCAACAAAGGTGGATGAGATATTTTGTTAAACTTTTTAATGAAAATTGTGATAATAAAATTGACTATAGTGACTTTAGCACCCTAAATGAAAATAAAGATTTCTGTTTTTATCGACATATTAGTAAAACTGATCATGTTAGAGAGGCTTTAAAGAAAATGAAGGGTGGAAAAGCTGTTGGACCTGATGATATTCCAATAGAGGTGTGAAAATGCTTAGGAGATAAAGGAATTTCTTGGCTTACTAAACTTTTTAATATTATTTTAAAAACTTAAAAGATGCCAGATGAGTAGAGAATGAGTGTGTTAATTCCTATTTTTAAGAATAAAGGTGATGCACAAGATTGCACGAATTATAGAGGTATTAAGTTAATGTGTCATACTTTAAAACTATGGGAGCGACTTTTGGAGCATAGGTTGCGGCATGATACTAATGTTTCTCAAAATCAATTTGGATTCATGCCGGGTAGGTCGACTATGGAAGCCATACATTTATTAAGAGGTTTGACGGAGAAATATAGAGAAAATAAGGAGGATATACATATGATATTTATTGATTTAAAAAAAGCATATGATAAAGTTCCAAGAGAAGTGCTATGGAGAGTTCTTGAAAAGAAAGGAGTCAATAATGCTTATATTCAAATCATTAAAGATATGTATGCATGAGCTATTACTTGTGTTCAAACACAAGGTGGATTGACCAAGTATTTCCCTATTTCGGTTGGGTTACATCAAGGATCAGCCTTAAGCCCATATCTTTTTGCTTTAGTCATGGATGTTCTCACTAGACATTTGCAAGAGGATGTACCTTGATGTATGCTTTTTGCTGATGATATTCTTCTTGTTGATAAGACTAGAGAGGGAGTTGAAAGTAAACTTGAATTATGGAGGTCAACCTTAGAGTCTAAAGGTTTTCGCTTGAGTAGATCTAAAACAGAATTTATGGAGTGTAATTTTAGTAGTAATAGACCTACTGAAGGGATTGTGACTTTGGGCGATCAAGTATATTAAGAAAGGTAGAGACAGACCTAAAAAGACTTGGTTAGAAAATATTAGGAATGACCTTTCTTTATTAGGTTTAAACGAGAATTTGACCTTTAATAGGACACAATGGAGAAAAAGGATTCATGTAGCCGACCCCACGTAGTGGGATAAAGGCTTGATGTTGTTGTTGTTGTATGTATATGTATATGTATATATATGTGTGTATTATATAAGATAATCAAACATATAAATAATGTGTATTATATAATCAAAATGATCCCTCAACTCTTTGTGAGGGACCAAAATGTTTCCCAATTTTTTTAAGGGACCTATTTAATCCCTCAACTCCTTAAAAAAGGGGCAAGCATAACATATCCATATTTATTGGTTTTTAGAGAGAGAACGTCCAAGTTTTTAGAGAGAATTTTTTTTTTCAAAATTTCCCCATTGCCGCTTTTTCTGTGTTTGGCTTGTGATGGCGGCTGACGACTGCCTGCCTTCTTCCAGTGGTCCTTTTGGTAGCAATTTTACTCGTCTGAATGGCAGATCCTCTATTCGGTTGAATGGAGGTATTTTTAACTGAGGATTGACTGATTCATCTGTATTTGGAGATCAAAATAGAGGTACTAAATCGAAACCATTAGTTATCAATGAGGTTCTAGTAGTAGTAGTGAAAAAGGAAATTCCATTTATTGGGAAAGGCAAAGGAGTGGTTTCGGAGATTATTTCAAATAGCAATTAATTGTCCAATGCTTTCAAGATCAATAATGAAGTTGTTTCTGGAGGATCTGATATTGGATCATCTTCGTCCTCAAGGATGAAAATTTTTGTTAACAGGTTTGGTAATAGCAGTTCTAATGTTTGTTCTAATGCCAAGGTTAGATCAGATGACTTGTCTGATCTTGTTTCTTAGGAGACTGGTGGAATTTTGGAAGGTGATAATACGGTTGTTGTTAAGAAGCCGGAGGATGATAATTCTAAACAAGGAAATGTTTTGATGTCTCCTCCAAAAAAGCAACTTGTGCAAGAGGAATTGCCTAAAGCTTGGGGTAAACGATCCAATATTAGAGTTACTAACATTTTTTTTAGTTCAATCACTATAGATGATGGAGTTGCAGTTAAGTTATTTGCCCAAAATGAGTTGGAAAATACGAAGAAGTTGCAAAATGCGTTGGTGGTAAATGTTTTTGGAGAAAATATTCTGTTTCATGTGATTAACATTGAATTATGTCGCTAATAGAGTCAATTTGGGAAGTTTCACATTACTTCACTGGGATTAGAATGGCTTCTTTGCTCTTTCCATTCGTCAGATTCGTTCGAGTCTGTGCTCTCTGAAGGACCTTGATATGTGAATGAATATATTATTGGTATTGACAAATGGTCTCCTAGTTTTTCACAATCTTCATTAAAGGGGTTAACTTCACTAGTTTGGATAAGAATGCCACACCTTCCATTATAGTGCTGGGATGAAGTCAATGTGAGAAGGATTGCTTCGAAGGTTGTAATTCCTTATATGATTGATGGTAACATGTTTCAGTGGGATAAGCGGGAATTTGCTAGAGTTTGTGATGTATAACTACATATGGATGCAGTGATTTGGAAGATTTTGCACTTTTGATTAGAAAGTAATGAAGAAAACTACGAGCATTCAAAACAACGGAATAAAACGTAAGAGGGGTCACGTCCTCTTAGGCTAAGTTAAAAATCCTTAGTCTAACAATAAGAGCTAGAAACAAAGAAGTACACTCAAATCCCTACATTTATTAAGCTTAGCAGAAGTAGGTGGAGGTGTACTTCGTGACTACAATCAATTTCACAAGAAAAGTTAGGCTTAAGAAATACAAGAGGAGGAAGAGTAGAAAAACCTCTATCAAGGATCGGCGG